ATAACAAGGGGTTCCCCATTTACACAATCATGTGGACTGAGGGATTTTGTGAAAAAAAACAAAGTTGCCGATGAAGAGAGAGAGAGAAAAAATATAAATACATAATAAATGTCCTTACTAATAAATTGTTGTGAGTGCACAGTGAAGTATTTTGATGAAGAAAAAATACTAAGGTAACAAAATTCACAGAGAATTACGACCGATTGACGTAATTCGACGAATGGGAGTTGCGCATCTTCTATAATATCTATATTATGCGAGATTGTTAAACCGCGCATGTACATTACTGAAATGAACATATAATAACAAATACGAGTTAAATTACGCGTGGCCTAGATGTAATAAAACACTGTAGACAGTACACATTCTCATTTTTATAGCTTATCAAGCCGTCAATCTATCAGATCTATACATTGAAAATACGTGTGACAACCACACGCGTACAGAGAGGGATTCATCTTTGTTATATATCATCTGAGAAGACTCCCCTTCCATGCATGAACGATTTAAAACTGTACTCACGGTTAAAATCCTGGCAGTACTGACGTTATATTGTATGGTATTTACAAATGTTCTTTTAGCGAAAATGCAGCAGCCATTTTGGAATCGAACATTTGGTTGCTTATACTGCCCTCTATTGGCAAACACTTCAATAACTTCGTTTACCATTATTGCGCATTATTAATGTATTTATTATTTATTTATTTGAAGACGGGAAGTCTATGCTATAAAGTAAACCAAATTACAAACTTTATCAGACCATAAATCATTCTGACAAGAAAATACACTAATAGGAATTAGAGACATATATATAATTTTAGGAGGTACACCTCGTTACACACAATATTGATAGGGGTACAGTGCTTTAAAACGCATTTTATAGATGACAGGTAAATTTTTGATTTTTTTAAATCAATTTTTGGTGGCATTGATGCCGTGCTTTATTGTACTATAGGGACGCAATTAAATATAAACAGTGGTAATGTTTACTAGTAATTAATAAACAAAAAATACCTAGAATAAAATAAATACATGGAGTTATAGGTTTCTACATGTCTTTTCTACTGCCTCGAACATATCATTTTCTCGTTAAATTATAACGTTTTATAACGTCCGGACGGCTGACATCGTGTTTTCATTTTTAAATCCTGGTCGCACGTATTTCCACTACAGCTCCTTGTCCGCCAATCTGGTGTTCAAGTCTTATAACGTGTTCAACGCGAAATACGCATTCTAAAAGGGCGGTAGTCGTCGCGCCGCGCATGTGCGACATTTGTATCAACACGCATTTATTTTCCCATAGTCCAATGCGCTTTTCTAATGAAATCACGAGTACGAGTTTTGCCCTGGTCGCCGCTTGCACTAATCACCGCCGGCGACTCCGTGATACCTTCCAAAAACCAAAAAAAAAAAAACTCTCAGTTTATACCAGTTGGTGTGCGCAACAGTCAAAAACCGCCATCTTTGTTTATATGAGACCCAAATCTTGCGCATGCACGGCGCGACGACTACCGTCCTTTAATAACTGTAACCTGGTGATAAATAAATGTCGTAGCTTTTTAAAGCGGGAGGGTCGTCATCTGCGCATGCGCGGAAATTGAGTCCCAAGCGACGATAACAACACATGCTAAAACGCAAAGGCTCATGGGTAGACGCTTGTTTGTAAACAATGACACGCTATGGCCATCTGACGCATGCGCAGGTGACGACTCCCCCGCTTTAACCATTCATGGCTTACAGGATGATATTCCTCTCCAAGAAAGAATGCTACACAGAAGTAAAAGTATTGTCATTTTCACGTATTTGATATTTCATGTCATGAAGATAAAGAAAATTGAATAAAAATAATGGGACACTAGTCGGTTCAGAGAAAATCGATGTATAAAACGGAGTGAAAATGGCCTGTTTTGTCTGTTTTAAGGCATGTTAGCTTTGTTTCCCATGGAACGGATATATCTCAAAATGTTGCTCGGTGATATATGGTGAAAATATATGGCGTCCTACAAGATACTTTTTGATATCTAAAGGTATTAACAAAGTTTTTTTCTCAAAAACAGATTGACAGTGAACCAAAAAAGTTAATATGCTAATACGTAATACATACTTGAACAAATAATTATGGATAGATTTTCACATAATATTGCGACTGCTATAAATAGTATGCGCTAACATACGCACAGAAAGTCACAAAATAGCGAGTAGCATTTGACCTTAACAACAAGTCGGGTAATGTAATTACTTGGCTAATAAACCAATATTGACCTAATTATCTGTACCTCAAACAAATTTAAACTTACTGTTATCGCAAGTAAGAATGGAAAGACAATGGAAAGTGTTCTTTATTTATTTATTTATTTATTTATTTATTTATTTATTTATTTATTTATTTATTTATTTATTTATTTATTTATTTATTTATTTATTTATTTATTTATTTATTTATTTATTTATTTATTTATTTATTTATTTATTTATTTATTTATTTATTTATTTATTTATTTATTACGAAAATAAAAACTATTGATTACGAAGTACTCACATACCCCTCCTGCTCACCCTTATGTGTCTTGTGATTTAGTACAAAATCCTGTGCATTGCTGAGCGATGGTTTGTAAAATATTTATTTTACGAAGTTTGAACATTTATATTAACGTAGGGTTTACAGAGTCCATGGATATACACAAATTAACTCTACCACCCCCTCTCATTTGACGAACCCCGGTTCCTGAGAAAAACATTTGAAGTGCGCCGCTTGCGGTGACCGACTTAACAATAGGTAGCAAAACTTTGAGGTCATATGACTCAGTAAGGTCATGGACCATGAATCACATGACATTGTCGCTGTGAAAGCTAAAACTTGTCAATCCGTTCGAAAATGCTGGAATCGGCGAGCTGCTCTCGGTTTCGACCACATAAAATGATTCTAATTGTTCCGTATTTCATCGGTGCACACCAATAAACATGGACAGGAACGAGAAGAGACCACTCCTCTCGCGGCAGAGGAGTCTAGATGGAGATTCGTACACCCATAGTTCGAAAACTCGCCGGATGGTGGCTTGCGCAGCAGTACTACTGACTGAAACGTTAGAGCGTGTAGCATTCTACGGGTTCACTTCCAATTTTGTACTATTCCTGAACCATGAACCGTTTTCCTGGCTCGCACAGAATGCGGCCAGTACGTTGTTTTTCTTCTGGGGTATACTATACGTTATGTCGGTTTTTTGCGGTTGGTTGGCCGACACAACTTTGGGTCGATTTAAAACGATCGTTCTTAGTTTACTTATTTATATGGTAGGGATAACGTTTTGGCCCGTACTTGGCTATGCAAGTTTCCAGTGTAAATATAACAATGACAGGAAATTCCTCATCGGACTTTGCGGGCAGCGTGACTGGATAGATGTAGACGGTTCGTGGACGATGTTTGAAGAATACTGTGCCTGGGTTGTCATTTTTGCTTTGTTTATCACTTCCGTCGGAGCAGGTTCTGTCAGAGCTAATCTAGCACCCTTTGGGGCTGATCAGGTAAGCTATTGTTCCAAAATCAAATGTTTAAAGCTTAAAACCTTCTCACTTCAAATAAACCAAAAAAAAGTCATTAAACATATTGATTACAAATAAACTTGAATTAAATTTCATGAAATCAGCTCCTAACTAAACTAAATCTTTCACCGACACACAACAATTTTTTTGTGATTTAAAAAAAAAAATTGTGACTTGCGTGAAGTTAAATGTCACATGAGCAGGTCTAGAATTAGTCCAGGTATTCAGTTACATGTATTCAGAACATACTGCCGAAGATCCTGAAGTGGAAATGAAACAATTTCATACAATACGTACTTCATAGATAAGTGGTGGGTAAAGAAACATTGAAAAAAACACACGTTCAAGACAAGTGGTTTTCAAGTATTTGCAACTTTTAAAAAATTATTCATGAATGAACAGACTGTTATTAATCACCAATTAGTGATGATTCATGTTTATATCTGTTTGTATTCTTCTCAAGTCAGACCAACTGTATGCTAATTAACAACAAATAGACTGGAACTTTCTTTCTTTTATTACCTGTTCGAAATAACTATTCTATTACTCAGGCATTGTATGCTAATTTATGCCAACGCATTTATTTTTACACTGCTTCTGTAATTTTTGATAAATTTAACATTTAATTGATAGAAAATGGTAGTGCTAAACTGATTTGGATAAAATATGTGGAATTTCATGAAAACAACAGTTTTGTGTTGTTTCGGTTGTTGCTGTAATTCATAATCTGAGCCACAATCCAAACAAATATCCAAAATGCAAGTTTATCTGGAATAACTCCAGCACTGTAAACAAATTCATTTAGTGCCAAAACAACAATTTTATTGTTTTTGAGAACATCAATAATCTCGCATATTTTTTTACAGTTGAACATTTTTAATATTCAAAAGTTCTGAAACCCCATTGTTTATGGATGCATTCGATTGACTCAACACTCTGAATTTGATTTTCAGTCTGTGTAAAATTGTTATTTTGTTTGACATCAGTGCGCACCTGGGATATAAAGAATTTTGAGAAAAGTATGCAAATGAGATCATGCAAATGAGTTCAGCAATTTAACTTCATCTGTAATTTTCAGTTTAACCATGTTCATATCTGTTACATATGTTCCCACACAGTTCCCTCTATTCCCCATCTGGAAATGCTTATTGTATAAGTTGTTTAATGGCAATCCGCAAAGCATGGTGACTTTGTGGATTACACGGTCACAGTTGTTTTGTTCAAGATTTTAATCTTTTTGGCAGGATGAATCCTCTTTTTCACAGTTTTACAGGACATACCGTTATTTATTACTATGTGCTATTTCTTTTCAATATTTTGTGATGTTTTTGTTGCTGGCATGTCAAAATACTCAGTGTTTTTAATAGTCCCTGTTATTCCTCGTGAAACTATATAAAAACAATGTTTCTTTTTTGAAGGTTCAAAATGTTTTAAAATTTGTTGACTGGTTGAATGTATAATAGTGGGATTATTACGAGGATACCTCAAAGTATGCACTAAGACAGTACAGCGGGAGTAACGACCGATGTGCAGCGGAGATTCGATGCGATGGTGTACTGTTTGAGTGCATACTTTGAGGTATTCTCGTAATAACCTTATTATTATACATTTTTCCTTCCAAGGATACATCATGGGAATGCCGAAATCCTAAATGTTTCGAACAGAATCAGTAAACTTCTCTGTATGGAGTCCGGTCAAACCCTGGTGGCAGCCATGTTTGTTTTTATTATTAGAGGACGCTTACGTGCATAATCATTCCATATTTGGAATTTGAATAGAATGAAAATACCTCGTAAAATACCGCACGCTGTAACTTATGGCGTTGTGGTGACAGAATTTTTCCATATTTATGTTAATACTAATATTATAATAATAACTTTGCAAATAATGCTGTATTGAGAACAATGTTGTGCTTTTAATTTTGTACGTGTCGTGGTCCATTATAGTTTCCACAACGGACACATAAGTGTAGTGCAATTTTCTGCCCTAAGTACAAGCGAATGGCGTATCTCAGTACAAAATGTGTTCGGTGGTTAGAACAACCTGTTTTAAAATTGGTAAAGTAGTTTAATTGAATTTTAATATAAATAGATTACTAAATCAACAATATTCACAAATAACTTCTGTTTTTATGGTTTTTGATGAGGCTGACGACACATACACACTGATACTAAATCTATTATAATAAGTTAATTTTATACATGCATACTTTGGATCGTATCACAGATAATATAGGTTCTGAAAAGTGTCAATAGTTTATCTACCCACTACAAGCATTTGTATTATAGATTGTATTTCATTTCCAGACCCAGGATAAAAAATGTAATAATATGTATACTCAGCTGTGTCTGAAGGAATGTGTCAGAAACTATGAAAAGACAACTGTGGTTAAAAAACAATAAAGATGCTTCTTTGCTTTTTGATTTCTAAGTGATTTCAAACAAAGATTCCCTTGTGCACAGCGTCATTAAATATCACCATACATTGATATCAAATCAGCATATACTTGTTTTATAAATTCTTGTACTGTACCTTTTTGTGCTTCGCACACGGGAGTCAAAAATTAACTTACTGTAGAATACTTTATTTTCGCTTGGAATTTATTTTCGCTATTTTCGCTGAAGGGATGATTCCGTGAAAATAAAATCCAGCGGATATACTTTTTTCCCTATATTTCACATTAAACTCATGAAAAATCAGTGAAAATAAATTCCAAGCAAAACGCCCAAAAAGCCTTTTCAGCGAAAATTAATTCCAGCAAAAATAAAGTATTCCACGGTATATGCAATGAAAGGTATAGACTTGTAATATCCATCAATCCAACTTGTTATCACATGACCAACTCTGATTACCCAATCACGGAGGAAATACAATTTTTCTTTTTTAGCATATGCTAATTTATTCTGATTACAAGTCAGTGGTCTTTGCGCAGCAGGTGATCAAATGTCATGTGAACAATCAATGTACTACCGATAATATTATGATTGCCCCCCCCCCTCCGTGATGTTTACAATAGTTTGCATTTTCCTTTTTAAAACTGTTGCTATACGTCAACCCATTGCCTCATTTGCACAGGTTTATGCCTGCATTGGTGTGTCCGAACAATATTCTCTCCCAAACTTAATTCACCTGCATTTCTACTAGTTTTTGCTTGCATGCTGATTCTGCATAAAATTACTGCATGTACTTGGCTAGCTGCATGGAATGCTGGTGTCAATATTTGTTTGAACACCGATCCTGCCAGTGCCATGAACTTTTACAATGACTTGACCGAGTAATTTGGTTAAAGGCGACAGTTATTGTCTCATGAAACGGTGATTAATACATGTATGCGCATGCTAATGCTGTAACGTTCTTGTCTAAAACGTGAATAAATAAACCAAAATGTTTATCTCTCCTTTCAGGTGAAACACGAAGGCCCCGAAGTGACGAGAGCTTTCTTTAATTGGTACTACTGGGCTATTAACGTTGGTTCGTTAATTGCCCTCGGCGTTGTAGCGTACATACAACAGAACGTCAATTTCTTCCTTGGGTTTTTACTCCCAGCAGGAGCCATAGCTGTAGCGTTTATAGTGTTCTTTCTCGGCAGAGTGTGCTACGTGGTGAAGAGGCCGGCCGGCAGTGTCTTGACGAATACTTGTCGGATTATCTGTACTGCGTTCCGAAACAGAAAACGAAGACAGGAGTATTTAATTGATCAGTAAGTTAAAAATGCTAATGTGTAAATACTTTTGTCGTTTGCTTGTCCTTTTTATTTGCATATTATCGACTCTTTTACTGTCAACTTTTGTCACCTTCCACAATATACTTCTGTTTAGTCTGCATATTAGCAACTCTTGTAAATTTTGTCATTTTCAACAAAATAGCTGTATCTGTGCATATCAATTAGGTAATTAGCATATTAACTTTTGTTACCTTCCACAAAGAAGTTATTATTTAGTACATATTACTTAATAGATGATTTGTAATCTTCAACCCTTTTACTCCCATAAAGTTTTGTCACCTTGCACAAAATAGTTTGATTCACTGATTGTGCATATTAATTAGATAATTAGCATATCATTAACCCTTTCTTTACATTGATAAATTTTGTCATCAGAATTCAAAATCTTTGCATACACATAAACTGTAATCGTATATGTCATCGTAATAACCATAAATCTATATTTTTACGGCCGTCAATTTGATTGTGTTTCTTTGTTTTATTCTGCCTTTCAGTGATTCCTATGATCTGAATCCCTCGCCTTCGTTTCTTGACATGGCAAAGATACGCTATGGCGGTTGTTTTCACGAGAGCAGCGTGGAGGATGTGAAAGCATTAAGTAAAGTTATACCGGTGTTTATTTCACTCATTCCGTACTGGATGGTGTACTTTCAGGTAAACTTTTAGTAGCACATTTGTGAATCTGTATCAGTAGTCATATGAGGAGCATTTTTTTAAATTACCAAAAATGTGGTTATTCGAGCAGAACCGTGGAGTGTTCGGGAAAAGTCCAAATGTTATTTTATGATTTTTCATTTTGTTACCTTGTCCGTACTATCAAAGATGGAAGGGAAAGGTATATTAAGGGAAAAATTTTGTCCGGCGTTGTCGTCGTCGTTGTTGTCGTCGTCGTTAATAATTGTTATTGTGTGCATAATAACTTTACTAATTCTATTCCAAACTTTATCAAACTTGGTCACATTATTCATCAGTATAAAGTCTTCCCTGAGTTTGAACAACAGATGTCCTGTATGAAAATATCATGCAAAAATTGAGAAAATATGATAAAATATTTTCAACTTGACTGTTTCAAATTTTCGCTGAAAAGGCTTTTTAGGCGTTTTGTGTGGAATTTATTTTCACTGATTTTTGATGAGTTTAATGTGAAATATAGGGAAAAAAGTATATTCGCTGGATTTTATTTTCACGGAAACATTCCAAGCGAAAATAAAGTATTCTACAGTAAGTTGATTTGCATACAAAGCAGAGCTTGCAACATGATTTTTTTTTACTTTCATATAATACAGTAGTCACACAATGAGGCAGTTCATATTTGTCTCAGTGAATCATTAATATTTGACAGACACCTGTACAAAATACTTGGACTAAAGCCAGCTAAATTTTTCTGTTATCTTGCATGTTTTATGAATCTATTCACATCTAAATGCAGCACTTTTTTTTTTGCAATGAGACATTTGTTTTTATTCTAAAATATCTGAATTACTTTGAATAAAGCTGGAAATTATGTTCCTTAAAATAATTAAACAAATAAGGCATGTTTTTGTAAGATAATTACATCTTTTAAGGACATTCGGTAGACTGATTCCCCACTGTTGGTTCAACCCCAAAACTTGTTTGTATTCAAAATTAATTATGACAATGCATATTTATATTGAAACAAACTATGATAAAGGGAATTATATTATATAACAAAGGGCAAGGTCACCAGAGTTCAACTATGTTTTAGTAATGATATCAAAAAAAATATAACCATGAAAATTGACTGTCAAGCAGTCTGTGATCTCAAGATGCCTTGTCAATGCAAACCATCAAATGTCTGTGTTACTATAGTAACCATGATCAGTGTTACACCTGATCAAATTAAAGTAGACATCACTGCCCATGATAAAAAAAAAACGTTGAATATACTGGGAGCTTGCATTTTGTAGTTGGTGGTTTGAAACCTAAAATTGTTTTTTTTTCCTTTCTTAGATGCAAACTACATTTTTGTTACAAGGTTTACATATGAGGGTATCTGGTCCGAATGAGAATCTGACGACAACACCATCGAACATGTGTAGCATTGAGCATGAACACGATTACCCAGACAGTGTTATACATTTTTCTAAAGATTTCCAGGTAGGAAATTTAAGCTGTAATTCGTTCGTCTATTGACGCTGCGGTTTCTTTTGCTGATTTTGTTCTGATTTATATTGCCTGATTCAAGTTTTAAATTTCAACTTACCCAGCAAATATTATTACACTATTAATATTATTACATGAATATATTGCCAAACATTACCAGATTACTCCTTCCAAGGTATGTTTTTTCACGATATTGATTTGTATTTTTATCAACTGTTGGCTCTGAATGCTAATGGCCACCATTGTAACAAGATGTTATGTTGAACTATGACCCTCCCTCATGAATATTAAGTAGCTAGATTACTGCGCTTGTTTATTGTCTTGTGAGCCATTGATGGACGCAGCATGGTCTGTATTTGTTTACCAACTATACAGAATAAACCCAGTGAGTTACACCATAAGGTATTCAGTTATTAATACCGTTAAAGTCCTAATATAAACCGCATACGTAATAGTAACCGCACCCCCAATTCCGGCTTCGGGGTTAATGAGTTCTTAACAAAAATAGAAAACTTGAAAAGTATCTATTACTAACCGCACCCCCAATTCAACAAGACCGTGACTGACTTCGATGTTTCAACCAGCTGTTCCAAAACGGCATTGTTCCTAATCCTATTCATTTGTTTCGACAACATGCCTAAAAATATTCACACCTATTTATTGTTTAGCGGTGATAAGATGTCAGACAGGCAATGAAACTGCTTTTGTTCTGGCGGCGACCTCTGTCAATACTCTTTCTGAATATGTCTGTGTTTCGTAAGTTTTAGACAATGAGCTTTTATCACCGTAAAAGTGTTAAACTGAGCATTGAAGAATAATTTATCTTTCGAAAACAAATAATTTCTTGATTTAAAAAAAAAATCATGCCGTTTTCCCATGGAAATCAAAGGCAAAAGATCGCACTACATTATCGGTAAATCTCTTCCGTGTTGCGTTCACCATGAGGTCGCTGAATTGTCATTATCGATAGCATAGAAGAACGTGTTATCCATGCTATCGATAAAGAGCCATTGCTCGAAACGTCTAGCTATTTTTAATAGTTATTTAGGACTACGATTACTAAATATTATCTTCTATATATCATATTTATCAGTCCAAGCAGCGTTTATTTATTTATGAACTGTCATTAACATATTTAAATGAGCTATGTAATTTAGACACGTGGGCACCATCCAGCATTTTGATTGGTTAATTAGCGACTTGACCTATCCGGTCAATAATACGTCACGTGAGCATTCAAAAGCATGGCGGATATCGTATCGGCTGTTTACATGTGACTGAAATCATTCGCTTACGGGGAAACTAAGTTGAATTTTACTTGCATTTTATAACAATTCAACGAATTTATTTTTCGTGCGTTATTTATTGTAATCACTACTAAATAATAATCACCAATATCAACACTTCGAAAACAAGTAAGTTATTCACTTGTGACCAGCAGCATGGCCGGATCGAGCTACCGTTATGTGATCATTTGCTACTAAGCAGTGCATTCGTGTTTTTATTTGAAACTTCTGTTAGAATATACTTTTCGTTACCAAGAAAATTAAAAAAATAAATGCGGCACAGATCTAGAAGCAGTACCTACACACGAATTGGTGACGTCATAAAATACATGACCTTCAATCGGGGTCGTTTCCTCGGTATATACGAATTGGTATATACAAATTACAATAAAGATACTTAAGACATTACACATAAGGTAAAACAAATCACGTGACAATATAATGATAATAACGGTAATAAATCCTAGCTTAACAGTTGAACAGAACG